GGCGGCGGCAGTGGCAGCTCCAACACAGCTGAGATCCACGGCACAAAAGTTTTCTCCACACTTCTCAACGTGCAGGAAATCTCGCCCGCGCTGGGGCAGGACTCCAGAGGTAGGGAAAGCCGGACCGAACCAGCCACAGCAACGCCCCGCGAGTTGAGTGGATGTGTGCGCATCCGGGCCGTGGGAAGTGAGATTGACAAAAGTCACCAAAGCCTCCCATCTCCTTTCTCACACCCAACCGTCGCCCTGCAACCTGCCCTGGCAGGACTGCCCACAGGCCGCTGAAGAGGCCAGGGCTGGCAAGAGAACTGCCAAGGCGCCTTGCTTGTCCTTTCAGACACTCACTGTCCTGGAGGGGCGAGGGGGCCTCCAAGGATGAAACCTTCACAGCCTCCACTTCTCCAGCCCAAACTGAGGAGAGCGGCCACCCCTGCATGGGGGAGCAAAGGCTGCCTCAGAGCTCTCCCAAGTGTGTCTGCGCCGAAAGGCTCTAGCCTGGGGCCAGCCATGCTCTCATCTGGTGTTTCATTCCCCCCTCCCCCTCACCCCTTAGTGACTGGTGTCTGCGCCTGGGCAGCTGGCAAGACCCCGCTGCGCTGCTCATGCCGGTCTAGGGGGCATTCACCCCCAGCTCAGGCCGAGTTTCAAAGTTGGTTTGAGGGCCCAGCTCCGCGGCGGCCCCGCGCTCCAGCTTGCCCATTCAAAGTTAGGAGCCACCGGGACAGAGCCGCCAGCTCTTACCTTAGACACTGTGAGCGGCTCGCAGTGTTCCAGACCCCCCTTGAGGGTGAAGCCCCAGGGGGCCCCCCCTTGCAGCTGCACTGGGATGTACTGGAAGGACCCAGGCCGGTTCTCCATCCTTGGCTAGGCTCAGGCGCGGATGCGCTTCTTTTCCTCGGGGGCTACGTTGCCTCCGCCCCCAACAGTTCCGCCACCATCGCCTTCCAGCTCCACGCCACCCTGCACCTCCCAGCTCCGCCTACTCTCTGGGCTGGAGACGCTCTGGCATTGAGCGAGCGCAAGGAGGAAATGACACGGAGTTGGAAAAAGGGGGAAGAGAGGGGGGGAAAGGAGAAGGAAAAAAAAAGAAAAGAAAAAAAAGGAGAGGCGGAGAGATAGCTCGTAATGGACAAGAAAACCGAGCAATGGGCAGGGGAAGTCACTGGGGCTTCGCCTATAGGATCATTGGGGAGTGGGAGCAAGGCGAGGCCTCACATCAATTGTTACATTGTTTCATTCAAGCAAGCCCCCTCTTTGGTCCTCCTCCTTACTGCCCAGTTCCCCGCCCCTCCAGCCAGCCTAGGCGAGGGGAGGTGAAAGTCATTAGTGTGGTTGGCCCGCGTCGCCAAGTGGGCTAAAACACCGGTTTCCTGATTAGTGTGTTCACATTTCTCTGACTTTTTCTTCTGAAGGTCCCGAGAACCAGGTCCTGGGAGGGTTACAAGGCTGCTAATTTGTGGACCTTGCCTAGAGATATGGAAAATAAAGTAAGCAGGCCAGCAGACACAGTGGGGCTGTGTGTGTACACTGCTCTGTGTGTATGCGCTTAGGTGTGTAGGGTCATTATGAAACATTGCCCTGGAGCGTATTTTAAATAAAGAAGTACTTTGAGGATGTCCCCTGCCCTGGCTCAGCCACACCCTGGCTCAGCATTGGCGTCTATGGGTATCACTGTGCTTGTACATGTTTCAGTCATCTGGAGTTCCTGGCACGGCCTTGCACTTGCCCCACTGAGATGACCAAGCCAAGAACCGGCAAACTTTATGACTAGCAGTATTGTTTCCACTCCTAACAAACCTGCAGGAAAGAGCATCCATTGATAAGCTAGCCAACGCTGTGCCTTTGGGAAGAATTATCTTTTAAATAGGGTCCAGAACATCTCTGCTCTCATCTATTCATGTGTGGGCTTGTAGTTTCTGAGCTGGGCTTTTAAGACACACCAAAAAAGAAACAAATGCCTACAGTGATTGTCCTAAAAAGTGAATGTTACTAAATCTTATGCTGATTTCTCTGCCTTGACCTGGGCTGTTTGCCTTCCTTCCTACTTGGAAATGTTTTCTCTGGAGCCACATGCAGTCAGTGAGTTTTTAAAGGACTTCCCACAAGCAGGAAAGATTTTGACAACTTTAACAGAGATGTAACTATCGTATGGCAGGTAGGGCATGTGCCCTGAGCACCTCTTGAGGAGGGGTGCAATGAGCAATTTCCATCACCAGCTGTGAGAAGTCATTCAGCAATTTAAAACTAATTGCCATAGGTGCAATTTTCCATAGATAGGCCCCTGCAGTTGTGACTCAACAGGACATTCCTCCTGTCTCTTGCCTCTTCAACACACAGTGGCCTGCCTCATGCCCCACCAAGTCACTGCAACTTTTCTCAGGGGCTCCCCTAGTCAATCCTTTCTTCTCAGCCTTCTGAACTGTCTGCATTATATGATGCTGACCTGACTTCTCTTTAATAAAACTGCAGTTTGGAAGTTTTAGCCCCCTTTTTAAAAGCCCTTTGAGATGATTCACATGTGAAACCACTATCTTTTAGACTTTTAAACCTACAAAAATAATCTTAATTATGTTTGTTTTGCATTTCCCCAACTAGAAGGCAGAAAATTGAAGAGAATGGCATCTCAACTTGCTGATTCTTAATAGTGTTTCAACCTATGACAATAACATTCATTTGCTCCATCCCACCTTGACACTGAGCTTTGTTTTTTTCTTTTTGAAATAAGACTGTCACTTGGTAGAATTCAGCATGTTTCAGTCTCAGCATATTGAAATTTGTAAAGTCCAGTTCACTCAAAGACTACTAGAATTGTGTGTGTAGGCTAGAGGAAAGAGCTTTGGAGGCAGGAGACACACATCTGAGACCTGGCCTTGTCACTAACTATATGGGTGACCTTGGAATAATTACTCAGCTGTTTTCTGTCTCATTTTCCTCATCTGTAAATTTCAGACCATGAGCTCTGAGCTACCTGCCTCCCAGGCCTGTTGAGAGACTAAAATGAAATAATACATATGAAAACACTTTGGTAAGGAAAATGTAAAATTCCTCACAACCTTATTATGAAAGCAAGCTATGAGCTAGCCTTTGACCAACCAACCTATTTTCATTCCAAGCCTTACTACACGATGATGTCTTGCTGTACTCTTCATTACTGCAGCAGAACATAAGTTATCTAGCCCTTTGTGCAAACAGCGCATAAATAAAACAAAACAAAACCCGTTGCCATCGAGTCTATTCCAAAGCAATGGAGAAGAGTCAATGGGTGTATTTCTGTCTTTCTCTCTGTGTCTCTGTGTCTCTCTGTGTCTGTGTGTGTGTGATGCATGTGTGCTTGCTGGAGGGTGATGGACAGATAATGAATTCACTCTAAGGTAGGTTAAATTGACTGTGGGGAAAAAAGGTGGAAAGTCCAGTAGGCAGGTAGAAATAGGAAACTGCATATCAAGAGAGTGGTGGTGATTGATAATACACATTTGGATTATAGTCGAAGCTATTTAGAATGAATAATCTTACCCAAAGGATCCCTGGTGGTGCAGTGGTTAAAGCGCTCGGCTGCCAACCAAAAGGTTGGCTGTTCAAACCCACCAGCCACTCCTCGGGAGAAAGAATGTGGCAGTCTGCTTCCATAAAGATTACAGCCTAGGAAACCCTATGGGGCATTCTGCTCTGTCCTAACGGGTTGCTATGAGTCTGAATCGACTGGATGGCAGTGGGTTGCATTAATTTCACACAGGGAGATCAAAATGAGAAGAAAGGGAGATTTAGGCAGAACCCTGGATTATGCTATTTAAAAGTCAGGAAAGGATGCATTGAAAATTACTGGTGACTGAGATGCGAAAGTTGGAAACAAGAAGGAATAGTAGTTGGAAAATATGTCCTTGGTGATACAAACGGTGCCAGAGAAAAACCAACAATTTCTTCATTGCAAATACCTTTTTTCACAAACATAAATGGCAACTATACTTATGAACCTTGCTAGATTGAATACACAGGAATCAAACTGACTACATGTGTGAAAAGAGATGATACAAAAGCCCAATATCATCAATCAGAGCAAGGCCAGGGGCTGAATGCCTAACAAACTATCAATTGCTCATATCCAAGTTCAAGTTGAACTGAAGAAAATTAGAACAAGTCCACGAGAGCCAAAGTATGACCTTGAGTATATTCCACCTGAATTTAGAGACTGTATCAGGAATAGATTTTACTCATTAAACACTAATGACCGAAGACCAGATGAGTTGTGGAATGACATCAAGGACATTATATATGAAGAAAATAAGAGGTCATTAAAAAGACAAGAAAGAAAGACCAAAGTGGATGTCAGAAGAGACTCTAAAACTTGCTCTTGAATGTAGAGTAGCTAAATGATGAAGTCAAAGAGCTGAAGAGAAGATTTCCAAGGATATCTCAAAAAGACAAAATAAATTTTTATAATGAAATGTGCAAAGACCTAGAGTTAGAAAAGCAAAAGGGAAGAACAAACTTGGCGTTTTTCAAGCTGAAAGAGCTGAAGAGAAAATTCAAGCCTCAAGTTGCAATATGGAAGGATTCTATGAGGAAAATATTAAAAGATGCGGGAAGCCTCAAAATAAGATGGAAGGAATATACAGAGTCACTGTACCAAAAAGAACTGGTTGACGTTCAGCCATTTCAGGAAGTAGCATAGGATCAAGAACCGATGGTACTGAAGGAAGAAGTCCAAGCTGCACTGAAAGCGTTGGCAAAAAATAAGACTCCAGAAATTGACGGAATACCAATTGAGATGTCTCAACAAATAGATGCAGCACTGGAAGCTCTCACTCATCTATGGCAAGAAATTTGGAAGACAGCTATCTGGCCAATCAACTGGAAGAGATCCATATTCGTGTCCATTCCAAAGAAAGGTGATCCAACAGAATGCGGAAATTATTAAACAATATCATTAATATCACATGCAAGTAAAATTTTGCTAAAGAGCATTCAAAAGCGGTTGCAGCAGTACATCAACCGGGAACTGTTAGACATTTAATCAGGATTCAAAAGGAGGATGTGGAACAAGGGATATCATTACTAATGTCAGATGGATCTTGGCTGAAAATAGAGAATACCAGAAAAATGTGTACCTGTGTGTTATTGACTATGCAAAGGCATTCGACTGTGTGGATTATAACAAATTATGGATAACATTATGAAGAATGTGAATTCCAGAACACTTACTTGTTCTCATGAGGAACCTGTACATAGAACAAGAGGTAGTCATTCAAACAGAACAAGGGAATACTGTGTTGTTTAAAATGAGGAAAGGTGTGTATCAAGGTTGTGTCCTTTCACCATACTTATTCAATCTGTATGCCGAGCAAATAATCAGAGAAGCTGGACTGCATGAAGAAGAATGCAGCATCAGGACTGGAGGAAGACTCACTAACAATCTGCGATATGCAGATGACAAAACCTTGCTTGCTGAAAGTGAAGAGGACTTGAAGCACTTATTGATGAAGATAAAAGGCTATAGCATTCAGTATGGATTACACATTAACATAAAGAAAACAAAAATCCTCACAACTGGACCAATAAAAAACATCATGATAAATGGAGAAAAGATTGAAATTGTCAAGGATTTCATTTTACTTAGATTAATGCCCATGAAAGCAGCAGTCAAGAAATCAAATGAGGAGGCAGGGCCAAGATGGCAGAGTAGTCAGACGCTTCCAGTGGACCATCTTACAACAAAGACCAGAAAAAACAAGTGATTCAATTATATATGGCAATCTGGGAGCCCTGAACATCAAAGGCAGAGTTGAGGAACCGGACTGAGTGGCAGGGGAGGGAGAGATGGTCCAGAAGCACTGAGGAGTTGCCAGACCTGTTCTGGTGAG